TCAAAAACTGACATTTGATCACTGGAATATTCTGACTACCTTTCAGTAAGTATTACATCAAGTTAAAAGAGTCTACTTCATCTTATGCAGTCTTTAGATCTATCAACCCCTCAGAATAATTCACCTTTAGCCAACTTCAAGGACTAGAGTTTTGCTTACATTATTTTGAATGGATGGACACTGACACATCAATAAAAGCAACATTTTAAATCAAAATTATTTTCCACTGCCCAGAACTCCATCACAGCTCTCCTGAAGATGGAGAGAGCATTTGTTATCACAATACTTTGTTTTCTTCTACTTTACTCAGGGATAAGAGATAGGAACCTTCTCGTCAAAAGTCCATAACAAACATTATTTACTAACAAAATAAATTACTGTACAGTCATTTATAGTTACTGTCCCATTGCTTATCTGGGCAATTATAATCACAAGAAATCTCATTTTGCTTTAACTGTTGCTTTAAAATCTTCCTTTTAAAAAAACCCTATGAAATCATGCAGATTACAAGTAATCATTTCCTAGTCTAAACTATACAATCCACAATCCTTTTACTCCTAGGATAAAAAAAGGTTTAATGAGTACAGCTTCAGGTGAACAGAATACACAAGAAAGTTATTCTAAGAAAAATAAAACCTCCATGTGTCAGATGCACTGAATATGTCACTAAAACATCCTCACACCAACCCTGTGAGGAAGGTCAGTTTGAAAGAGTGGCCCAAGGTCACCTAGTGCATTTCATGGCTGAGCAGAAATTAAAACTCAGGCCTGTACAGAACTAGTTCAATACAGTCAATACACAAAACAAGTTAAGGTTGAAACCATTGGCACAGTTCATTCTTTATTCAAGATACATGTGGAGTTTTTTCATCACTATTCTGCAAGAAAAGCTGCAACATTAAATAAACAAGGCCTCTGATAGCGACTCAAGAAACATCCTGAAGAGATGTGCTTCTACCTGAACTCCCTACTAGTATAGGCAGAAGCAGCCTCACAGAATAGACCATCTTCCACAGTCTATGACTGCTTGCACCAACATAATCTTTCTACCTATGGAGTGTAGCGCGCACACACAACTCACAATCCCCTCTTTTACAGTCTGGATTGGTTGAGAAAGACAGAAATCAATTCACCTTGTACCTCTCCGGTGTCCCAAAACGAAAATACTAGCCTCTTTCCAAGGATTTATCCAGTTCACTGTGTGGTTGTCCTCATGGCAATTATTTAAGGCAGAACAAAATAGTATACAACAGAGACACAGTGAGAGCAGAGGCTGAATTGGTGAGAAGACTTCCTCTTAAAGCTGAATAGAACAACTACGAGAACAACTGTTCTGAGGCCTGTCTTGGCTCTTGAGGCAGGGGCAGCACCAAGTCTTCACTTTTAAAAATGCAACCAGATACCAAACCACTGAAGAACCCTATTTTTAGCAAAATTTCAAACATGCATGGCTCCGGAAAGAGCTCCGTCTAGAAAGAACAAACACTGATTATCAAAGAGAAAGAAAAGGAAAGCTGCCTCAGCAACCCTCTTGCTTTGGATAGGTTGATCAAATCAAGGAAGGCAACAATGGCATTTCCCAATTATTACCTCCTAATCTTGCGTTTACATTCTTTCGGACATGCACCCCCTCCAAGGTGGCTTGCTCCAGTCCACCAAGGGAAAATGCTGATTGGAATCTACTTGGCAATCGAATGCAACAAGCAGCATGGCCTCCAAATGTCAAGCTGTCGGAATCCCAAAGGTAAAATGGCATTTGTTTATGCAGGTTATACAGCTCACAGCTACACCTCTTTAATCACCATTTTGGATCTGGCTCCAATTGGTATGCCACCTTATTCTTGATTCTTTTTTAAAAAATCCCACAAAGCTGTTACATGGTCATGCAAATCATGACATTCTGAACAACTCTCCCTAAGACACGAGGCCATCTGCTTACTTACTACTCAGGTTCCATTTCTCAGTGAAAGCTTCTACATCTCTTTGATTTTCAGAAATACTCTACAGTGCTTCGGTCACTAATTTAGTCTCTCAAAGCCCTGGAAAAGGAGATTAGGCTGAGATACAGCAACATACATAGAAGCACACAGCAAGCTCTAAAAACAAAAAAGAATTTGAATGCACACTTTCTTTGCACAAACCTATCACCTAAGTGATTGAACCTGACAAATCATAAGCATGATTGGCTCAGTTAAAGGCTTAATAAAGATTAAAAGCCATACATTCAAAGCAACTTGACTATATACAGCTCTTTAAACCATGGAAAGTATCTTAGTTTATTGCAAACATATGGGATTAAACAAAACACCTATACTTTAAGCAGAATGACAGCTACTCAGACAACACACCCACAGACTGACGCCTATATTACCTTATCCACTAATAACTGCTAAACATAGGACTAAGAATGTAGGAAACAAAAACAAACACTACAACAATATGAAGTTGTCTATTTTACTATCTTTCAATAAGAGAAAAATAAGGAAATGAGCAGCTAATCAGTTTAAAGTGATATTTTAAATTTCTATAATCTGATTAACTTTTAGTCATAAATCATAAGACAGTAAAGCCAAGATTGCTTTCTTTTCACCTGCTCTTTTCATCCATTCTTAGTAAATTCTTCTCTGAAAATGACAAGCACTTCCCATGTGATACCGTAAGAGGAAATCTAAAACTAGAGCACAAAAAAAAGGTCTAGTGTGATTAACCCTATCTCTCAGCTTTACATCTAGCTAGGTTAAAAGTCAAGCCAGATGATCTTGGGTCATGCGTGCCAGCTATGGCTTGGTTGATCCTGAGTAAAGGTGGGGAATCTGATAGGCTTAAGAGCCAATTACAGTATCCGGTCA